CTAAGGTTAAAGAGTACATGTCATGTGACTTTACCATCTTAAGGTGACTACCTGGTATAAAGCAACAATTACAAAACTTCTCAGTCCTACTGAGCCCTTAGATTATCACTGTATCTCCTTTTAGACTAAGGAAGCAACGAAAGGTCTCTAAAATATTTTGGATTGGTATTGAATTTTGTAAGATAATAAAATGTAAGGTTATGAAATTCTACTCAGATAAACAAAAGCTGATTTAAGATATCTTACTGTTAGCATTTAGTCTAAGCTCTGCCCTACAGTTACCTGGCTTACACCCTTTTCCCTCTCTTGCTCCTGCTCTTGCCTTCCTGCTCCTGCTCTCTCCCCATTCTCTTTCCTCCTCTCTCTCCACATGCTCATAGCAACGCCATAAGTAGTGAGTGATGTGCTTATAAGAAGATAAAGAGAGAGGGGATATGTTTTGGCAGACATGTGGTGAGGTTTGAGGGAAGGGGGTTCCTCAGTGGGCCCGTGCTTAGGCATCCCTTCCTCCTTAGGGATCAGCCACAGGACTGTACAGTATAGAATAGAGTTTATTCAGGGCATGGGGAGGGGAGTCAAGAGGGTAGTAGAGGCAGTGAAAGGCAGAGGGGGGGAGAGAAGAAGTGGAAGAGGAAGAAGAGGAGGAGGAGGAAAAGGAAGAAGAAGAAGAAGAAGAAGAAGAAGAAGAAGAAGAAGAAGAAGAAGAAATAATGATGATGATAATAATAATAAAAATGGAGTAAGATGACTCCATCTGGATTATGGTAATATTAACCACTGGCAAAACTGCCCCATGTCTTGCCTGCTACCAGGGCTCTACTCAAAGTATGGACATTTTGGGGTTGATTGACATACTTTGCCTGGTCAAAGTAAAATCTGTTTTCCCAAATTCCTCTACAGGAAAATTCTCAAAGCTCTATCCTGCTTTGTATGACAGCTAAAAATTAAATGTTGCTCTATATACCCTTCAAAGACTGCCCCAAATGAATCCATTCACTGCCCCCAATGAATCCATGGAGACCACCATCTTGGGTAATGGGAGTGTCTCTGTCACTTTAATTGATACATAGATAGTTTATACTTCTAACTAGATCATAGATTATACTCTAGCTAATTTGTCCTTCTCAGATCTCTTACAATATTGACTAATTGTACCCAGCTCTTCTCCGAAGGCTTCAGAGGCCTTCTCACTTCTCTTCATAATGTCAAAGTCAGGTCTCAGGCCTCACTTACCTAGAGCTTCTAGACCTCCAACTGAGAAAGACAAAAGGTTTCCCTGGCTATCAGACTCTAAAATAAATAAATAGGCAAACAAACTCACGAAAACAGGTTTTAAAGTAACTTTTTTCTATTCTTTTCTTTAAAGGAACTTGCTTCTCAAGGACTGCTCTTAGTAATCAACTACCTGTGTCTTAGAGTAAATAATTGGATGTTGAAAAAGTGATCCTCGCTGGGCGGTGGTGGTGCAAGCCTTTAATCCCAGCACTTGGGAGGCAGAGGCAGGCGGATTTCTGAGTTCGAGGCTAGCCTGGTCTACAGAGTGAGTTCCAGGACAGCCAGGGCTACACAGAGAAACCCTGTCTCGAAAAACCAAAAGAAAAAAAAGAAAAAGAAAAAAGAAAAGAAAAAAAAGAAAAAGTGATCCTCAGGTAATAAGGGATATGGAGCCTGAAGCAACCACCTCTGGTAGCCAGGAAGGACTCCCAGTGGAGGAATAAGTACAACAATCTACCCATAAAAACTTGCGCCTACAATTTGTCCTCCCTACAAGAAGTGAAGAGGCAAAGATGGAGCAGAGACAGAGGAAATGGCCAAACAATGACTGGCCCAACTTGAGATCCACCCCATGGGCAAAAATCAGTCCCTGACACTATTAGTGATACTCTGTTATGCTTACAGACAGGAGTCTAGCATAACTGTTCTCTGACACACTTCACCCAGCAGCTACTAAAACAGATGTGGAGATCCATCACCAAACGTTAGAGGGAGCTCAAAAAGTCTGGGGAAAGAATTGAGGGAAAGATTGAGGTACCTGGATGGGATAGGGACTCCACAAGAAGACCAACAGAGTCAACTAACCTGGACCCTTGAGGGCTCCTAGAGACTAAACCACCAATCAAAGAACAAACATGGCTGAACCTAGGCTCAGATGTGCAGCTTGGTCTTCTTGTGGGTCCCGCAACAACTGGAGGAGGGGCTTAGCCTGACTCTGTGGCCTGTTTGTGGATCCTGCTTCCCTAGCTGGGCTGTCTTGTCTGACTTCAATGGGAGTAGATGTATCTAGTCTTACAGTGCCGGGGTGGGTTGGTTCCCCAGTAGGAACCTCCCCTTCTCAGAGGTGAAGGGGAAGGGAGAAGGGGAGAAGCCTCTGAGGGAAGACTGGGAGATAGGGGTGCATTCTGGATGTAAAATAAATAAATAAACAAACAAAGAAATGGAAAAAAATTTTTTTCAGATTTCTTTTTCTCATCAGGTTATTGTTATACTAAGACTTCAAAGGTTCAGAATTTTAACAATCAATGGAGTGCTGAACATTTTGGCTACCCATTCTCTCTTTGTATATTTGGACCTCCTGGCTGCTGCCCCTGGTTTCCCTCTCTTCCCTCTACAGTTTTCTCCCACCTCTCCCCATGTGACTCAGGGTCACATCCTCTCTGAACTCTCCCAGATGTCCCTGCCTCTGGCTATGCTCTCCCAGACATATCTATAATAAACCTTTTCCTCCACTATATCTAAGAGCAATCATGTCCCTTTCCTTTTTAGTTCACACACAACAAATAAATAAATAATAAATGTTTTTCAAATGAAGAGAAAAAAGAGGAGGAGGAGAAGAAAGAAAGAAAGAAAGAAAGGGAGAAAGAAAGAAAGAAAGAAAG